TGAGAAGGCCTACGAAGTAGAGGCTTATCCCAGATAATCTAAACAAAAGGAATTTCCAAGCTATGCCAAGTTCTGCTTTGGAAGGGCCACCATACCATTGCATCCATGTCTTTTTGGCTGTATTTTAGCACATCTATAATAGCATCCACAGCAGTGTCTGTAGAAGCAGTAAAAGTGACTGGAGGAACTGGAATTGGGGGACTTGTGTCCTGTAAGGAAAAAAAAAAAAAAAAAAAGAAAATTTCAACAGATTCCTATTGTCATGCCATTGATTAGATCTATGCACATAATTCAATGCTAAGTCAACACAGATTACTCGAACACACAAAATAAAAGCAGATGACACCACACTGTTCTCCATAAGCAAAAAAGAAAAGACTGTTTCACGATGAACTGCTGTGTGCAGATCTGTCCATAAAAGGCTGCCCAAGCTATAAACCATAGACTAGAGCATTGAGTTTAATCAAAGTGCTTTTCATCTCAGCAGTGCAACTAAAAAACAAGCTTCTCTTTTATGGCTTTGCTTGCATAAAAAAATATTGCCTTTCCAAAGCATTCTTTAAAACAGCTCAAATTCTCCTAGACCACATGCAATGGCACCAGTTTCCACAAAAAAAAAAAAGTTTAATACTTTAGAAAATGAAGTCCATCAAAAAGTTCAACTTTGATATAAGTGAGTGTCCAACCTGGCTTAAGACAAGAGTTTAAATAGGCCTTTATCACATTCTGTGATCTTTAAAATATCTGCATAAGTCTCAAATCCAGAACCTCGGCTAATCCCTTTCCCAAAATACCAACATGAAACCTTGATAGCACTGTAGGCACCCTTACAGAAGTTGTAAATGTCCCCAGAAGATCTAGTCCTTTTGGTTTTTCTTCATCTTGAAGACTCACTAGAGGCCTTTCAGGTTCCTCAAGCAATTTACTTAAATCAGGAACAGGACTAAAAATAAACAAAACATACACCATTAAGTTCAAGTGCTGCCTTTCCTTGTAAAGTTCCTGTATCAGCAATAGTTTGTCCAGCAGGACCAGGGCAGTGATTGTTCCCCTGTACTGGGCATTGAAGAGGCCACACCTCAAATCCTGTGTTCGGTTTTAGGCCCCTCACTACAAAACACTGAGGTGCTGGAGCAAGGTCAGAGAAGGGCACAGAGCTGGAGAAGGGTCTGAAACACAAGTCTAGTGAGGAGAGACTGAGGGAGTTGAGGGTGTTCAGCCTGGAGGAAAGGAGGCTCAGGGGAGACCTTCTCACTCTTTACAACAACCTGAAAGGAGGTTGTAGCCAGGAGGGTGTTGGTCTCTTCTCCCAAGGAACAAGACTAGATGAAATAGCCCCAAGTTGCACCAGAGAGGTTTAGATTGGACATTAGGTGAAGTTTCTTCACTGAAACAGTGGTCAAGCATTGGAACGGGCTGCCCAGGGAAGTGGTGGAGGCATTTAAAAGACATGTAAATGTGGCATTTGGGGACACATTTATTGGTAGAGCAAATGCTGGATTAAATGTTGGACTTGATCTGGAAGGTCTTTTCCAACCTAAACAACACTATGACTTTATGTATTACAGCCCAGACTAAGTCAATACCTACCTCTGCTGAGGTGGAGCTGTGATGATACTCTCATTTGTTTCAATCAGTTTCTGGTACTGTTTTCTTGGGCTGTCTCTCAGTAGAGGGTCAAACTTCAAATAGAGTGACTGTTTTCTCAAGGCTGACTCTTTGAACTGAAGGGAGAGAGGTATAAACTGGCAGATACGCTGTTTGAGAGCATAACACACACATCCCACCCACACACAAACAATCCTCTGGAGAGTGGGTGAGCCTGTTCTTCAGTGGCCAGAGCATTGTTCTCAAGAGAAAAATTACATAAGAGAACTCTGTGCCCACATGCTTAAGTCCTTATGTAATATCAATCTGAACTCAATCTGCTCCCAGACAGAATAAAAAGAGCAAACATTTACGAACTATTCAAAACCAGCAGAAGACACTGGAAAGGGAAGGATAGCATTGTAAGCTGAAGGAGCAGTGTATGGCATTTGCATACAATAATAAGAGCAAACACAGCATGACCAAAAAAACAATTCCAATTCAGTGTATTCACTGTACATTCAGAGCTACTCTTACTCTGGACCCAAGTAGAAGAAAGAATAATGAAGCTGAACTGATTAAAACATGACATGCCCAATTTAGAGACAAATTTCCTGAAACTGGCCATAAAGCAAAAGAGCTTGAAAATATTTTTGAAACAGCAATCCTGCACTTTCAAAGCATCATGTTGTTCTTGCAACCACCAGAGGAGAAACATCAGCCACGCTGGTTTCAGTGCTTTTATAGGAAAAACACCACCTTTGGAAATTGAAAGCAAGAAACCTCTGATTTTCTGTTGAGTTCCTTCTAACTACATTTCTTTCCACCATCCCCCCCCACCCAGCCTTGTCACCACAAAAAATTCCTTTGGAACAGAATTTGTACTCCTGCAGATAATCCAAAGTTATTTTATGAAAACATTTAAACTTTAACAGTGTCACCTTTGCTTTCCCTCTCCACCCTGCCAGGGAGGCAAACAAAACATTTCAATGTCATACTTACTGAGGAAGTCCCAAACTGTTCCAGATAGTCTATTTCTATGCCCATTCCTAGGACTGGAAAAAAACAGAAAGGATACAATGAAGATGTCATATGGTCTTACCACAGACAGAAATAAATAAATATGTGTAGAAAGCAAATACTGCTTTCATTCTCATGAGTTCTAGTTCTTCACTTGTTTAAAATATTGTCTACCCAGACTTGAAAAAAAACAAAGAATCAGGCAAAGATTTCTAAGAGAAGCAAACTTACAGCTTCCATTTGTTCCCAAACACCTGTAAGTATAGGCAGAATCTAACACTCAGATGAAGAACTCCTGTTGTTCTGTGGTTAAATTGACAAGCACACTCAGATATTCTACTATTTTACACAATGCCCCATGAAAGACTTCGGCTGTCAGTCTCACCACTAAAACTGGCACACAGCTCAGACTTGAACAATGAAGTTACAGTCAATTCCCAACATACTGATTCCCCTCCAGTCTGAAGGTCACTGCAGTGAAATAATTTCCTCATCCTTCCAAACAAGGCTTCTACAAGGAATAACCCCTCCAAGTGGTCAAGTCACAGCTGTGTAGGAAGCTTTCAAGACAAGCATGCAAGCGCAGAAAGACCATCCACACCACAACATGAAACCAGTATTCAAGTAGTGCTAAGGCTGCAGTAATCTACAAGGCTCACAAATACAGACAGTTACATTGCTCTCAATTTAGAGAGGCTTTAAAACCAGAAGTTATTTTAAATGAGCATTTTTTTTTCAGCACCGAAAACTGCCACAGAAACTCTAAATAGATTGTTTCTGTACCAGTCTAAATTTTATCCTCACAGGCAGCTGAATTTAATAACCAGTTTTGTGAACTTAGCTTAAAGCAGAGAAAGTTAAAAATAGGCTTAGGTACATTTCCCAGCACTGCTAGTTATCGTAGGTTTTGCAGTCCTTTCAGAAGTGCAGAATAGAGACAAAACTAAAATCTCTACCAAAATTGAATTGGAAAAATATATACAAATAGGTTATTGTAACGTTATATTTTCAGTCTGTTTTAAAGAAATGCCATTACCTTCAGATGACGGTCTGAAGAACTCTTCAGGTTCAGCATTAGCTGCCGCCTCATCTGCTGTTATCTCGGTTCTGGGGGAATGCGGTTTAACTTCTGCAGACACTGGCTTTTTTCCACTGTCAGAGGAAACCAAATTATCTTGAGAGGGGACATTATGAGCTGAAGACATTTTAGATGGGTCCATTTGTTCCTCCTGATGAGAAAAAAACACAATCCTTTTTACTGTAAAAATAATTACTTAAATGTAATGAAAATCATTATAATGATCGAGTTGGTTTGTCACAAATCAGCTGGGCAGCCAACATAATGAAACGAGGGTTCACAGGCATAGAAATGAAACTACCAATACTGAGTACAGCTCATATTATACAGGAGTCACTGTTTATTTTTTACAGTCCACACCCTTTTGTTTGTCCTTATAGGTGACTGCTGATCAAAAAAGATACTGAATATCAAGGTACCAATTTGGCTGTCTCTGATGTTACCTTCAAAAGACAAGTCCGTACAGTTGATATTCCTTTTAGAGCTGCTGAAGATGCACAAACCCACTACCTCTTAGACAAAATATCAAAAATAGGTTTCACAAGATTAAGTCTCTAAGTCAACTGTTTCATGAAACAACCTGGTAAGAACTGGCTATCTTTGTTATACCTTACCATGTCTCTCTCTCTTGAAAGTTCAGCTTCTGCTTGAACTCCTGGCTTCTCCTCTAGAGCTCTTGGCATGTCTTCTACCACACTCTGCTTAACAATTTCCCTAAAAACAGAAAAAGAAGAAAGAAAAAAAAAATCAAAATTTAAGTCACACAGTTCTGAATTCTATATTACCAGATACACTGAACAAAGTTACCTTTTTTGAGAGTTTCTACTGCCACAGCCCAGGAAGCTTTACAGAGGGTGGGGATGTAAATTCACTGTCTTGCCTGGTGACAACTTAAGCGACAGAAAGCTCTCTCTCCATCAGAAGTAGTGTTATGTAGGAAGCAGAAAGTCAAAGCAGTATCATTTATTTCTATTCACTTAGCACTGTTCTCACGTTTCCGTTTGTTAAGTTCATTATTTTTTTAATTAAAGATAGGCTTTTTGTTTAATTAAGGACAGAATTACAAGAGCCTGCTCCTCTTTCCTAAGCAATGCTGTGAGTATTGGTGTAAAGCACAGAACTTCATTAGAGAAATCCAATACTTCAGTTTGTGCTGTCAGCAGTCAGCACACTTTTCACCTTGGTAAACAGTAACTAATCACATCACACAGGGGGCAAGAGAGCAAACATTTCTGTCCAATGATCAACTTGTGCCAGTTCTGACTGTCTATAGCGACACTGACACTTTAATAACTAGACTTTCTAGGAAAGGCAACACAACATATTCCATTCTCAAATAAAAAGTTTGTGGTGCCAATTAAAAAAAAAAAAGCATGTTCAGAGACAGGGCTTTTTATTGGAGATAGCATTTAGATACCAAGAACACACAGGTAAGAAACAGCACCTCAGAAAACAGACCAGCAGAAAACAGAATTGCCTGCTCCCTGGGCATTTAATTTAAAGACAGTAGCAGTCACCTGGTTCTCCACATTTTACTCTAATCTTGGAGGAGTGGGTAAAGAACCACATGACCCAGTGCTCTTTCCACCTAAGCCTGTTCTCTCCCATTCTTCCAGGTTTAAGAACAACTTTTCCCTAGAGCTAGTCATCTTGGGATAGTTCCCCCAGTGAGATCTTTGCTGTTGCAACATAATTGTGCCAAAGATTACAAGAACAGACTCAGCCAGTGTTGGAGGGAAGAAGTCAAAGTAGGGATCAACTACTTAGATACATCTAACTCTCCTCACATGGGTTTGAGGTGCTTCTGCATTCAGCCACACATTTACTTACTGATTTTTGGGTTCTGGTTTTTCAGGAGTTTCACAGGTACTTGGACAGTTATCCTGTTCCACTGGAAGAGGGTCCCTTCTTGAAGTGGTACTATCCTGCTCCTCTTGCAAGTGAACCTTCTGAGGGCTGGGCTTAGAACGAGGTGAGGTGGAAATTTTGGAGCCTCCTCCGAATGGATTGAAGTTTGGATCATCAAGTTTGTCCCAGTCAAACTTGTAAGATGCTTTAGGAAGAGGGATGTCATCTTCCACGTTACTTTTATTTTGCACTTCAGTATTCTCTGGTTTTGTTTTAGTAATAGGAATTCTTTTGGAAGGTGGCTTAATTCCAGGTCTTTTACCTAGTTTCCTGGGAGGTGGTTTTTTAGCAGTGGCATTATCAAAGTCAAATTCCAGTTTTACTGGTCCAGCCTTGGGGACATCAGGCTTTTCTGCAGGCTTCCCTTTGGAGACAGCCAGATCTTCATCAGGCTTTGACCCTTCTGTGGAAGCTTTTTCTGCTACCAAAACATCCTGATGCTTCGATTCCCCGGTTTTAGAAGAACCAGTTACATCAGAACTACTGGGACCTAAACTGCCAGGTGACTGTCCAGGAGGTGTAGGTGCCTCTGCTAATCCCACTGAAGTATCAGTTTGGCTCAGGTCTGTGGAAGCAGACTTCACACCCTGCTCAGAGTCACTGAGTGCTTGCTTAGGGGACAGTGTGGATTTGTTAGACTCCAGCTCACTCAGTGCAGGTTCTTTTGCAGAGACGAAAGGCTTCTCTTCAGGTGAACACTCTGTATTCGCTGTGGTTGAAGCAAAAGGAGCTGTATCTTCTGTCAGAAGAGAATCATTACTTTTTTCAGAAGTTTTCTCAGGGCTGCTAGCTACTTTTACAGGAGACTTCTGCAGATTTCCAGGAGAATAAGGTAACTGTGCTGAACTTTGAAAAGGATTGATGTCATCTAAATTATCAAAATCGAGACTGTAGGACCCTCGACTCTTCACTGGCATCTCATCATCTGGATAAGGAGCCACACTGACCTTCTCTGGCATCTGTGTATTCTCTGCTTCAGCCTCAATCTTTTGTTGACATGTGCTGCATTTAAAAAAGACCACATATAGTTATTTTTCAAGCATCACTCAAAGTTATCTTTAGAAAGATATTTGCACAAGTAGTTTTGCATGCTCAGAATAATTTGATTTTTTTTTCAATAAGTCAGCTGAGAGTAAAAGAATATTGTAACAGCAAGAATTCAGTTGCCACCTGAACAGTGAGAGCTCAGGTATACAAGAACTATAGGGAAATCAATCCTACAAAGTACCCAGTGTTCTAAAGTTACCTGTTCTACACAGCTTTGTTACCTTATGACAGCCATCCCTGGAGACTGCTCTGGTCACCAGAGGATACAGACATTGCCCTTTTACTGGGCAGAGAAACACACATTGCTTAGGAAAAGCCATTGACAGTAAGCAGTTCAAACACAAGCACAGTTCCTAATTCATCTTCATGCAGATTCATCTCTGACTCATGACAGACTCAAGTCTGGGACCAAACCAAGTCATGATTCAGGTTCTTCCATTCTAGTCATTACTTTGTCTGGTCATTCTGGCAAGTATTTTCCTCTCAAAAGTATGCACCAGCATTAGACCTATGAGGGCCTACATACCAAAAGAACCTGGACTTCAGAAACTCCAAGCTCTGTACAACAGGAGATCTGAAGAGAAGGGTAATAATACAAGAAAATACTTCTTCAGCAAGAGAGTAAGATTCTCCAACAAAAGAAACACGTTAAAGAGTTTGTGTACTTGCTATTGCTAAAAATCCTACAAGTTACTGCTCTCCAATTTATTTCCCTACAACTTCTGAAGTTTAGCCTCAGACTACAGAGAGTTAAGCCATTACTTCCTGAAACAGGATTTCCTCCCATTGTTTTGTCCCTCCGTAAAGTTCTTATTTCTCTGTGTCATCTTTCTCTGCTGCAGAACAGAACATGATTAGAAGCCACTCACTAAAAACTCCACTTTGATGAACTCGAAAGCAAAGGCGGGAGATAAGAGCTGAAGAAGTTCTCACCCGGTTTGAGCGCCGCTTCCCTGCAATAGCTCAGCCCCAGGCTGCTCCGACTACTCAGGTCCCTCCCACTCTCCTTCAGTGTTTAACCCAATAAATGCCAGCCAAGAACGAGACACCTGCCTGAAACGCCCATCACTTGTCAAAAGTGACACCCTTCAGCAGCACTGAGCCCTGCAGATTATCTGCTACAAACCAATCCTCACATTCTAAAATAAAAAAGGACAGTACAAGCAATGTGTTGACACATAATTATGCTCTAACTAAAACCAATTGAGTGCTGACCCTTTTAACTCACTTGAACTTTGTAAGTACTAAATCTTTGTTTATTTGTGCAAGCAATGAGTTTGGGGCATAAATAACACTGTCATTTAATTGTGGTGGTTAGCTCAGAAGTACTTTTCTAAACTAGACTACCCACGGTAACAAAGAGTTGAAGCAAATTTTTACATTTAAAGAAGATTTAAGTGTTCCTACCCTTCACCTTCCCCCCTTACAACCAACAAAAATAGGTATCAAATGAAAGTATTTGGTTGTTAAAGACGAACAAAAGGGGGTCTATTTGCTTGCAGAAGGCAAAGCTAAATCTTAAGATTTCTTGCCACCGGAAATTACAAGTGTCACATGTTTATACAAGTTCAAAGGGGGGGGGGTGTCAAAAAAAATCAGTAATAAAAATAGGCATTGAGATGTCTTAAATTGAAACATTGTAGATTTTATGCTCCTCTCTAGACACCTTCCATGAGCTACTTGGAGACCCAGGTTGCCAGACTGCAAAGGCACATAAACTTGTTTATACTCATGCTTGATGTTATTTTCACTTTGTGTTGCCAGAGTTTCTTTAATCTTAATACTCACTGACTCAAGGTGTCAATTCAAGCCAACCCTTCAGGAGATTCATCTCTTTAGATTTTTCTCCTTAAGACACAACAGTACTTAATACACAAAAGAATATCTTTTAAGGTTGTGCTTTAAGAATTAGCTTCAGAACAGTTGCATTCTCACATGAAAACCCTACTGTAAGAAACGGTTTTGTATTCTCTACCTGATGTATCTTCTCTCTTAAGCTATTTATCCATACCTTGTCACCTCTATGAAATCAAGTTACAGGCAACTTAGAGTTCAGTATTCAACATTACAACTGAGACAAACTTTTCTTAGAAGTATTGACAGTTCCCTTTAAAAAGTTTGTGCATCAGTCAGTATTAATTTCGGTCTTTCATGTAGTTTACATCCAGTCATAAAATACAAAGTTACAGTTTAACTATACACATTTGTAACAGGGAAAAGTTAGCTTGAGTACATCCCACACAGCTAAAGCAACTCGCAGTGAATTCATTACTCACTCAGCATCAGAGGGTGCACATAAAAGATCATCCACCGAGTCTTCACAGCAATCATCAAGCGTAAAGGTAGTCTCAAGTTTGCCTGTCATAGTAGGACTTAGGATTTTTCGAGTCTGAGGATCTCTTTGAGGAGTTTGAAAGGTTACCTTTAAGAAAGGGTGGGCGGGGGGAAGAAAAAGGAAAAACGTGAGCACAATATTTGTCAAGCTCCAAATAGCTCACGCATTCAGTAGCAAAGATGATGGAAGGAGAAAGAATATAAGCAATACAAAAGCAAAACTTTACCTTCATTGCTTTTGCCACACTTTTGGGTGGCAAGTTTTCTTTCTGGGACGGGCGTAGAATGGAAGGTCTCCCTGTAGGTTCCGGTGGCACCAAGAAAAAGCCACAGTCATCTGCTGTTAGATCATCCTTAATGTTTCCTGCATTTTCTCCATTTTCTGCGTTTAAAATCTGCAGACTCATTCTAGAACATCAACAAACACAGCACCACAGCATGAATGAGAGGGTGTGGTCAGCCAGATGCACTTCCAGATAATGGAAGGAGTTGGCAGACTGGCACCAGCTAGCAAACACTAACAGCTTCAAAGGAGTTCTGGAAGTATGGAAAGTCTTCGTATGGAAAAGTGTATCATCTCAGAAGACTCAAAGTATCTAAATGCAGCACGGTACAGCCCCTCTGCTTTTGGTAGGGGTCTGAAAGGTTAATTGTTGATAGTATGCCTTCCGCAGTTCACATTATACCCTTACTAACTAAGCCACCATCCTTCAAAGGGAGCTCTGTC